TATAGTCCTGGGGACCATTCAGGCTTGTTCGCATTTGTGTTCCTCACGTGTGCCCCAAAGAATGAGGTGATTTGGTGAAATGCTATGCCCAAGATTACCATCCGAGTTGCCGTCGGGGAAGTGGCTCAAATAGCCTCGGCTATCACTTCCTTTTGACGGCCGTGATGGTCAAGCGGATTAAGGCGCCCTGTAGTTACCAGTTGCGTTGCTTCTGGGAGTATGGGTTCGAGTCACTTCTGGGGTGTGAGTTTTCATTCGCATATAGTCCTGGGGACCATTCAGGCTTGTTCGCATTTGTGTTCCTCACGTGTGCCCCAAAGAATGAGGTGATTTGGTGAAATGCTATGCCCAAGATTACCATCCGAGTTGCCGTCGGGGAAGTGGCTCAAATAGCCTCGGCTATCACTTCCTTTTGACGGCCGTGATGGTCAAGCGGATTAAGGCGCCCTGTAGTTACCAGTTGCGTTGCTTCTGGGAGTATGGGTTCGAGTCACTTCTGGGGTGTGAGTTTTCATTCGCATATAGTCCTGGGGACCATTCAGGCTTGTTCGCATTTGTGTTCCTCACGTGTGCCCCAAAGAATGAGGTGATTTGGTGAAATGCTATGCCCAAGATTACCATCCGAGTTGCCGTCGGGGAAGTGGCTCAAATAGCCTCGGCTATCACTTCCTTTTGACGGCCGTGATGGTCAAGCGGATTAAGGCGCCCTGTAGTTACCAGTTGCGTTGCTTCTGGGAGTATGGGTTCGAGTCACTTCTGGGGTGTGAGTTTTCATTCGCATATAGTCCTGGGGACCATTCAGGCTTGTTCGCATATATATATATATATATATATATATATATATATGTCGTACCTAGTAGCCAGAACGCACTTCTCAGCCTACTATGAAAGGCCCGATTTGCCTAATAAGCCAAGTTTTCCTCAAATAATGTATTTTCTCTAATTTTTTTCTTACGAAATGATAAAGCTACCCATTTCATTATGTATGAGGTAAAAAAAAATTTATTGGAGTTAAAATTAACGTAGATATATGACCGAACCTAACCAACCCTACCTAACCTAACCTAACCTATCTTTATAGGTTAGGTTAGGTTAGGTAGCCGAAAAAGTTAGGTTAGGTTAGGTAGGTTAGGTAGACGAAAAACAATTAATTCAGGAAAACTTGGCTTATTTGGCAAATCGGGCCTTGCATAGTAGGCTGAGAAGTGCGTTCTGGCTACTAGGTACGACATATATATATATATATATATATATATATATATATATATATATATATATATATATATATATATATATATATATATATACATGTCGTACCTAGTAGCCAGAACGCACTTCTCGGCCTACTAAGCAAGGCCTGATTTGCCTGATAAGCCAAGTTTTCCTGAATTAATATATTTTCTCTAATTTTTTTCTTATGAAATGATAAAGCTACCCATTTCATTACGTATAAGGTCAATTTTTTTTATTGGAGTTAAAATTAACGTAGATATATGACCGAACCTAACCAACCCTACCTAACCTAACCTAACCTATCTTTATATGTTAGGTTAGGTTAGGTAGCCGAAAAAGTTAGGTTAGGTTAGGTTAGGTAGGTTAGGTAGTCGAAAAACAATTATTTCATGAAAACTTGGCTTATTATGCAAATCGGGCCTTGCATAGTAGGCTGAGAAGTGCGTTCTGGCTACTAGGTACGACATACACATATATATATATATGATCAATGTTCCCTTCGGGAATGTTAATTTTAAGATGAATAGGAAAACCAGGGATATACTGAACATCTTGTATCAGAATCTTTACCTTAAAAAACATTACGTTTCGAATACTTCTCGTATTCATCATCAGATCTAAAAGAAAAACAGAAATCACAATCAAATAACTGGTAAACAAAGAACTCATACTGAATATAATTGCCTATCAAAGAAAGGAAAATGCTTAAAAAACAAAACACTTAAGCGCACTTAAAGTGATCAATTCAAATAAAACTTAATTGTCACATAGATAAAAGCTAATTTAAAAATCCATTAAAATTACAAGAGGAATTTTATAACTACTAAAACAAACCCTTCTATTAAACTTACGCGAAGTGATCAGAAGTGAAACTTGATAGCTAACACATAGATACTAAACACTATAAGAAATATTCTTATAATGACAACAATTCTACAACAAATGTATATAAAATATAAACAGAATAAACGACAATTATAATGTACTAACCAAAATCTTATAAAAAACTCATATATTAAATAAAATTAAATACCAAAAAATGTATTATATATCCTAAATAAAAGATTATAATAATGCACAATGTCAAGACTTGAAATAAGTAAGAAAAGGCAAAGACATGGTAAACTAAACAAAATTATAATAAAATAAAACCAGCATTGTCTAAACCAGTATTTTCGGAGATTAGAAACCATTGTTATGAGTTTAATCATTCTCTGCTGGAATCTGATTTTAAAATTCTGGACACTTGTATGAATGGCCAGTCAGATTTGAGAGTAATGGAATCCTTATATATAAAGGAGCTGCGGCCTCTGTTAAATAGCAACCTTTCAGCTGTTCAATTGTACACTGTATAGTGCACAGTAGGCCCTGTAATTTGATTTTTAGTTTATTTTGGTAGTTTAATTTTATTATAATTTTGTTTAGTTTACCATGTCTTTGCCCTTTCTTACTTATTTCAAGTCTTGACATTGTACATTAATATAATCTTTTATTTAGGATATATAATACATCTTTTGGTATTTAATTTTATTTAATATTTGAGTTTTTTATAAGATTTTGGTTAGTACTTTATAATTGTCGTTTATTCTGTTTGTATTTTATATACATTTGTTGTAGATTTGTAGTCATTATATGAATATTTCTTATAGTGTTTAGTATCTATGTGTTAGCTATCAAGTTTCACTTCTGATCACTTCGCGTAAGTTTAATAGAAGGGTTTGTTTTAGTAGTTATAAAATTCCTCTTGTAATTTTAATGGATTTTTAAATTAGCTTTTATCTATGTGACTGTTAATAAGTTTTATTTGAATTGATCACTTTAAGTGCGCTTAAGTGTTTTGTTTTTTAAGCATTTTCCTTTCTTTGATAGGCAATTATATTCAGTATGAGTTCTTTGTTTACCAGTTATTTGATTGTGATTTCTGTTTTTCTTTTAGATCTGATGGTGAATACGAGAAGTATTCGAAACGTTATGCATTTTAAAGTAAAGAATCTGAAACAAGATGTTCAGTATATCCCTGGTTTTCCTATTCATCTTTATATGATCAACCAGGCTGTGACTCATACGTCAGGCTGCGAGCAGCCGCGTCCAACAGCCTGGTTGATCAGTCCGGCAACCAGGAGGCCTGGTCGACGACCGGGCCGCGGGGACGCTAAGCCCCGGAAGCACCTCAAGGTAACCTCAAGGTAGGTTATATATATATATATATATATATATATATATATATATATATATATGTCGTACCTAATAGCCAGAACGTACTTCTCAGCCTACTATGCAAGGCCCGATTTGCCTAATAAGCCAAGTTTTCATGAATTAATTGTTTTTCGACTACCTAACCTACCTAACCTAACCTAACCTAACTTTTTCGGCTACCTAACCTAACCTAACCTATAAAGATAGGTTAGGTTAGGTTAGGTAGGGTTGGTTAGGTTCGATCATATATCTACGTTAATTTTAACTCCAATAAAAAAAAATTGACCTCATACATAATGAAATGGGTAGCTTTATCATTTCATAAGAAAAAAAATAGAGAAAATATATTAATTCAAGAAAACTTGGCTTATTAGGCAAATCGGGCCCTGCATAGTAGGCTGAGAAGTACGTTCTGGCTATTAGGTACGACATATATATATATATATTATGAATAACAGAGATCCCAGGACAGAGCCTTGGGGCATTCCATTTACAACATTTTCCCACTCTGACTTAACCCCATTTATACTAACTCTCTGTTTCCTTTGGTATAGCCATGCCCTAATCCAGCTTAATATAGCACCCCCAATACCGTGAGCCTCTATCTTTTTAATCAGTCTTTCATGTGGCACTGTATCAAAAGCTTTGCTGAAGTCAAGGTACACAACATCACAATCCTTACCACTATCAACTGCCTCAACTATGCTGGAATAAAATGACAGCAAGTTTGTTAAACATGAACGGCCATTTGTAAAACCATGTTGTGAATCTTTATTAATTTATGCTTTTCAAGATGAAGACGAATGGTATTTGCAATTATCGACTCAAGTAACTTTCCTACAATAGACGTTAAGCTAATTGGCCGATAGTTACATGCAAGTAATCTATCTCCTTCTTTGAAAGTTGGCACCACATTAGCAACCTTCCACGACTCTGGCACTCTGCCTGTGCTAATGATTTACTAAATATGGTAGACAATGCCTCGCAGAGCTGCTCATTGCCTTCTTTAAGCACCCTGGCAAACACTTCGTCTGGCCCTGGGGATTTGTTTGGCATGAGCTTCACTATTTATTTATAACATCCTCCCTGGTAACTGCTAAACTAGTCAACCTGTCCTCGTCCCCACCCACATAGACTTGTTCGACTGAGGGGCATAATGTTCAGTTCTTCTTCAGTAAATACACAGATCAGATATTTATTAAAAATACTCCACATCTCATTGTCAATATCAGTTATCTAGCCTTTATCAGTTTTTAATGGACCTATTCTTTCTCTAGTCTTTGATATAACTGAAAAAAACCTTTAGGATTTGTCTTTGCTTGCCCTGCTATGCGAACTTCATAACTTCTTTTTGCCCTCCTTATTTCTTTTTTTAACATTTCTAACCAGTTGGACGAATTCTTGTTCTAAACTGACTTCCCCATTCCTAATCCTTTTGTACCACGCTCCCTTTCTATCTATAAGGTTCTTCAGTTCCTTTGTTATCCATTTCGCGTCATTAGTATTCGATCTGTTCAATTTGTATGGTATACTACGTTAGGTTGTATTAGCTTATATCTTTTAAGTTAATACTATATTAGCTTACAGGTCTCTATAGAGTCATCAGGTGATATTAGCTTACAAGTCTCTATAGAGTCATCAGGTGATATTAGCTTACAGGTCTTTATAGAGCCACCAGGTGATATTAGCTTACAGGTCTTTATAGAGCCACCAGGTGATATTAGCTTACAGGTCTTTATAGAGCCACCAGGTGATATTAGCTTACAGGTCTTTATAGAGCCACCAGGTGATATTAGCTTACAGGTCTTTATAGAGCCACCAGGTGATATTAGCTTACAGGTCTCTATAGAGCCACCAGGTGATATTAGCTTACAGGTCTTTATAGAGCCACCAGGTGATATTAGCTTACAGGTCTTTATAGAGCCACCAGGTGATATTAGCTTACAGGTCTCTATAGAGCCACCAGGTGATATTAGCTTACAGGTCATTATAGAGCCACCAGGTGATATTAGCTTACAGGTCTCTATAGAGCCACCAGGTGATATTAGCTTACAGGTCTCTATAGAGCCACCAGGTGATATTAGCTTACAGGTCTTTATAGAGCCACCAGGTGATATTAGATTACAGGTCTTTATAGAGCCACCAGGTGATATTAGCTTACAGGTCTCTATAGAGCCACCAGGTGATATTAGCTTACAGGCCTTTATAGAGCCACCAGGTGATATCAGCTTACAGGTCTTTATAGAGCCACCAGGTGATATTAGCTTACAGGTCTTTATAGAGCCACCAGGTGATATTAGCTTACAGGTCTCTATAGAGCCACCAGGTGATATTAGCTTACAGGTCTTTATAGAGCCACCAGGTGATATTAGCTTACAGGTCTTTATAGAGCCACCAGGTGATATTAGCTTACAGGTCTTTATAGAGCCACCAGGTGATATTAGCTTACAGGTCTCTATAGAGTCATCAGGTGATATTAGCTTACAGGTCTTTATAGAGCCACCAGGTGATATTAGTTTACAGGTCTCTATAGAGTCATCAGGTGATATTAGCTTACAGGTCTTTATAGAGCCACCAGGTGATATTAGCTTACAGGTCTTTATAGAGCCACCAGGTGATATTAGCTTACAGGTCTTTATAGAGCCACCAGGTGATATTAGCTTACAGGTCTTTATAGAGCCACCAGGTGATATTAGCTTACAGGTCTTTATAGAGCCACCAGGTGATATTAGCTTACAGGTCTTTATAGAGCCACCAGGTGATATTAGCTTACAGGTCTCTATAGAGCCACCAGGTGATATTAGCTTACAGGTCTTTATAGAGCCACCAGGTGATATTTGCTTACAGGTCTCTATAGAGTCACCAGGTGATATTAGCTTACAGGTCTCTATAGAGCCACCAGGTGATATTAGCTTACAGGTCTCTATAGAGCCACCAGGTGATATTAGCTTACAGGTCTTTATAGAGCCACCAGGTGATATTAGCTTACAGGTCTCTATAGAGCCATCAGGTGATATTAGCTTACAGGTCTCTATAGAGTCACCAGGTGATATTAGCTTACAGGTCTCTATAGAGCCACCAGGTGATATTAGCTTACAGGTCTCTATAGAGCCACCAGGTGATATTAGCTTACAGGTCTCTATAGAGCCACCAGGTGATATTAGCTTACAGGTCTCTATAGAGTCACCAGGTGATATTAGCTTACAGGTCTCTATAGAGCCACCAGGTGATATTAGCTTACAGGTCTCTATAGAGCCACCAGGTGATATTAGCTTACAGGTCTTTATAGAGCCACCAGGTGATATTAGCTTACAGGTCTCTATAGAGCCACCAGGTGATATTAGCTTACAGGTCTCTATAGAGCCACCAGGTGATATTAGCTTACAGGTCTTTATAGAGCCACCAGGTGATATTAGCTTACAGGTCTTTATAGAGCCACCAGGTGATATTAGCTTACAGGTCTCTATAGAGCCACCAGGTGATATTAGCTTACAGGTCTCTATAGAGCCACCAGGTGATATTAGCTTACAGGTCTTTATAGAGCCACCAGGTGATATTAGCTTACAGGTCTTTATAGAGCCACCAGGTGATATTAGCTTACAGGTCTCTATAGAGCCACCAGGTGATATTAGCTTACAGGTCTCTATAGAGCCACCAGGTGATATTAGCTTACAGGTCTCTATAGAGCCACCAGGTGATATTAGCTTACAGGTCTCTATAGAGCCACCAGGTGATATTAGCTTACAGGTCTCTATAGAGCCACCAGGTGATATTAGCTTACAGGTCTCTATAGAGCCACCAGGTGATATTAGCTTACAGGTCTCTATAGAGCCACCAGGTGATATTAGCTTACAGGTCTCTATAGAGCCACCAGGTGATATTAGCTTACAGGTCTCTATAGAGCAGGGGTGGGCAACCTTTTTGAGAGTGCGCGCCAAAATCAGCCAAGACTCTGACACAAACTTTTTCCACGTGCCACCATTTTTTTTTAGAACATATTTGGTATCTCTTAAGAACTTTTTAAACGAAAAAATAATAAATTGCCTCAGTGCAGTAAAACATAGAATAAAAAAAAAACAGAAAAAAATTATTTAACCTTCAGAAGTACATTTCAACAGCCTTTAAGCTTTTGTGACTTTAATAGAATACAACAGATAAAAAACTTGTTGACTCCTTTTATATACTGTCAGTGAGACTTCTGCTGCTGCATAACTGATGACAGAGATTTTACATCGGGTTTATATTTAGTAACATTGAGAGATATGCATGCAGCGCTAGTTTCATCTGTCATGCTACTCCTGTTACGAGACTTAACAAAGTTCATAATTGAGAACAAAGATTCGCAAGCATATGTAGACCAAAACATGGTTAGCAATGCTGTTGCAAGGCTTTTTAAAGAGACATAATTTTCTGGAATAGTATTCCAAGTCCTTAATACTTCGTTTTCCGCATTTCTCTTTGTTACTTTCATCTCTAATCTCTCTCTTTCAATATTTTCCAAGTCAACTCTAAGGTCAACAAATTTCTGCTTCCAAATTGAGCTACTCTGAAATTCAATCAACTGCATCTCAAAATCATCCATGTCTATCCATGAAAACATGTGCAAGTTTAGTTCATCCATTTTGATGCTGTCTGGAAACTTGATGAACTTTACTGTGTCTTCCAGTTCTCTGAATTTGGCAAATCTTGTAGAGAACTGCCAAACTGTTGACTCGATAATGTTTACAAACAGCTTTTGAAGACATTTGTGGTCTGTTCTGTCATCTTTTAGATCACTGATGTACCTCTTTAGGTTTGGAAAGTATCTAAATCTCTCATTATCTACATCCCTCTTAAAAACTTTAAGCTTCATTTCAAAAGCTTTTATGTAACAAAACATAACATTAAGTGTCTTACCAGAGCCCCGTAACTTAATATTCAATTCATTTAAATGTTCACAAAAATCTGCAAAAAACATCAGTTTACAAACCCAAACGATGTCAGAAAATTCATGGTGACACTTGTTGGTCGTTCAAATAGAGCTTTATCTCATCTAAGCATTCAATAAATCGTTTCAGAACCAAGCCTCTGCTAAGCCAACGAACATGGTGGTACATTTTCAGTCCTTTATACACAGATTCTACCTCATCCAGTAGAGTTTGAAATTGTCTTTTATTTAAAGGCCGACCACAAATGTAATTAACAACCTTGGTAACTGTTTGCATCACTTCTTGCAGTTGCTTTAGGCCAACTTTTGCACATAAAGCCTCCTCATGTATGATGCAATGGAAGCCAATCAGTGGATGACCAACACTTTTTGCAAACAGATTTACAAATCCTGCCTTCTCACCAGTCATGTTTGGGGCACCAGCTGTTGTGACGGATACTACTTTTGAAATGTCAATTTGCCGAGTAGAGAATTCGTTCACAACTGTTTTACACATTTCAGCCCCGATAGTACGCTCAGGTAGTGATGCAAGAGCAACCATCTCTTCACATACTTCATCACCCCTACAAAATCTAGAATATATGGCTAGCCTAGCTGATGATGTAATGTCTGTACTTTCATCAACACAAATAGAAAAAAAACTTGCATGAAGACAAATCTTTTGTCAATTGTTCAGCTGTATTTCTTTTCAACTTAAGTATCCTATCCTTAACTGTTTTCCTACTCACAGGCAAATCTTTAATGCGCTGAATAATCTTTTTCTTTTCTGAAAAGTTGTGAAAAAGAAAAGGTGCACATTCTAGCCAAGCTTCTTTAATATACTCCCCATCACAGAGAGGCTTTCCGTGTTGGGCAATAACTTTTGAAACTTCAAAACTAGCAGCAACTAAGTTGGAACTAGACCTACCTGAAATATAATTCATAAAAGTTTCAGCTTGTGTTTTTGTCTTGCTCAGTTCACGAGAAATTAATTCTCTTTGTTCCTCCTCAGTTTTATTGCTTAAGTTCTTATGAACATTTTCAAAATGTCTCTTTACAGAAGAAGTTCTACAAACAACTGTGTCAGAACAGAAAATGCATAAAGCTATATCATCCTTCTTAATCATGCCAAACTTTTCAGTCCAGTATTCCTTAAAATCACTAATATCCTCTTCATTTGACACATCGTTTCTTAGCTGGTGGTGTCATTCTGTACACTCTGTAGAGGGCATGAAATTAAAATAAGTAATATATTGATATGCATGGAAGAGAAGGAAGATCAAAAGTAAGTCAAAATAGTATATGATGAGTAACTCCAATGAATAGCAATGATAACGGATTGTGTTGTCGTTGTGAAGTGCAGTGACGAGAAATGAATTAGCCTACTTCTACTGAAACGCGAGTATTTAAAGAATTATTTATTTCCTGTTAATATTATAGCACACACAAACTTTGTAGTAAAGTATACGTACGTTTATTCTAATACCAATCAATAAGTTTAATAAGGCAATGTTTGAGGTAAGCGTGACGAGACAATGAACATTATAAAAATCTTCAGAGGATTTTTTTTTCTTTTATGAAAATTAGAAGGTTTTCTTTATTTTACATAATTCCAGAAACAACACCCGCAGCCGCTTGTCACAGACACTACTTCCTAGACATTGAGTACTTATGCCAAGAGTTTATAAGACTTCATTTGGTTCCATCGACAAAACCCGTTTTTGTGTGGTGTGTTGCGGCGAAACATCGTTGAGTCGGTGACATCTTGCTTATGTCAGCTCTGTTCTTAGGGAGCAGGCGAGCGAGTACGTGTGAATTTAAGGATTAAGACTATTCTTACAATGATATTGAGTTTCACAAAGTTATGGATTTATAAGGGGAATAATTTTCACCTGGAAATGAAGTACTGACCTTCTTCTCGGGGAGGAGGCAAGTGAGCAACTGTGAGAAACACTACGAAGCAAGACTGTGAGAGAGAGTTACGAGTCTGAGATCGTCTGAACATGTGTTCATGACGGGGACTTCATGGGGGTGGGGGACTGTTGATTTCACTGGTTATATTACGGTCGTCAATGGAGAGAAGGGGAGAGCATAAGAATTCTTATCTTTCTTTAGCTTCCGAAGGTGAAGATGCTTTAGATTTAGATAGTAAAGTGAGTTTAATTAATATGCGTCAAACTGAAGTCGGGCGGCATTCAAACACATAAGGTTTAGGGGGGGGGGGGAGATGTTGTGGGGGTTTAAATTCAAAGTTTACGAAATTAATTTGTAAAGGTGGGCAGACATGGCGTATTTTGTCTTCACAGATATGATTGTCAGTGTACACTATGGTTATGGATGGAGCCTTTAGGTTAGAAAGGCTTATTACATAAAATATGAGCCAAAGTAAATAGAGGGGAATCATCATACATCGGCATGATCGATGACGTAAAAAAAGAAGGTAACTATGGCAACAAGATCAACTTCTTTTTCTTGAGACCTCTTTAGCTTCGTAGAGCTTAAACCTCTTCACCACCAGGACGTCTTGAGACCTCTTTAGCTTCGTAGAGCTCAAACCTCTTTACCACCAGGACGTCTTGAGACCTCTTTAGCTTCGTAGAGCTTAAACCTCTTCACCACCAGGACGTCTTGAGACCTCTTTAGCTTCGTAGAGCTTAAACCTCTTCACCACCAGGACGTCTTGAGACCTCTTTAGCTTCGTAGAGCTTAAACCTCTTTACCACCAGGACGTCTTGAGACCTCTTTTGCTTCGTAGAGCTTAAACCTCTTCACCACCAGGACGTCTTGAGACCTCTTTAGCTTCGTAGAGCTTAAACCTCTTCACCACCAGGACGTCTTGAGACCTCTTTAGCTTCGTAGAGCTCAAACCTCTTTACCACCAGGACGTCTTGAGACCTCTTTAGCTTCGTAGAGCTTAAACCTCTTCACCACCAGGACGTCTTGAGACCTCTTTAGCTTCGTAGAGCTTAAACCTCTTCACCACCAGGACGTCTTGAGACCTCTTTAGCTTCGTAGAGCTTAAACCTCTTCACCACCAGGACGTCTTGAGACCTCTTTAGCTTCGTAGAGCTTAAACCTCTTCACCACCAGGACGTCTTGAGACCTCTTTAGCTTCGTAGAGCTTAAACCTCTTCACCACCAGGACGTACATATACTGTCATGGCATGTAAGCTTATACCCCAAGGAAAGTAGTTTTTTTTTGTCTGAGCTTAGGGTAACCTATGCTCTTGCGTGCCAGAGACAAGTCATCGGCGTGCCAAGTTTGGCACGCGTGCCAGAGGTTGCCCACCCCTGATATAGAGTCACCAGGTGATATTAGCTCACAGGTCTCTATAGAGTCACCAGGTGATATTAGCTGACAGGTCTCTATAGAGTCACCAGGTGATATTAGCTTACAGGTCTCTATAGAGTCACCAGGTGATATTAGCTTACAGGTCTCTATAGAGCCACCAGGTGATATTAGCTTACAGGTCTCTATAGAGTCACCAGGTGATATTAGCTTACAGGTCTCTATAGAGCCACCAGGTGATATTAGCTTACAGGTCTCTATAGAGCCACCAGGTGATATTAGCTTACAGGTCTCTATAGAGCCACCAGGTGATATTAGCTTACAGGTCTCTATAGAGCCACCAGGTGATATTAGCTTACAGGTCTCTATAGAGCCACCAGGTGATATTAGCTTACAGGTCTCTATAGAGCACCAGGTGATATTAGCTTACAGGTCTCTATAGAGCCACCAGGTGATATTAGCTTACAGGTCTCTATAGAGCAGGGGTGGGCAACCTTTTTGAGAGTGCGCGCCAAAATCAGCCAAGACTCTGACACAAACTTTTTCCACGTGCCACCATTTTTTTTTAGAACATATTTGGTATCTCTTAAGAACTTTTTAAACGAAAAAATAATAAATTGCCTCAGTGCAGTAAAACATAGAATAAAAAAAAACAGAAAAAAATTATTTAACCTTCAGAAGTACATTTCAACAGTCTTTAAGCTTTTGTGACTTTAATAGAATACAACAGATAAAAAATTTGTTGACTCCTTTTATATACTGTCAGTGAGACTTCTGCTGCTGCATAACTGATGACAGAGATTTTACATCGGGTTTATATTTAGTAACATTGAGAGATATGCATGCAGCGCTAGTTTCATCTGTCATGCTACTCCTGTTACGAGACTTAACAAAGTTCATAATTGAGAACAAAGATTCGCAAGCATATGTAGACCAAAACATGGTTAGCAATGCTGTTGCAAGGCTTTTTAAAGAGACATAATTTTCTGGAATAGTATTCCAAGTCCTTAATACTTCGTTTTCCGCATTTCTCTTTGTTACTTTCATCTCTAATCTCTCTCTTTCAATATTTTCCAAGTCAACTCTAAGGTCAACAAATTTCTGCTTCCAAATTGAGCTACTCTGAAATTCAATCAACTGCATCTCAAAATCATCCATGTCTATCCATGAAAACATGTGCAAGTTTAGTTCATCCATTTTGATGCTGTCTGGAAACTTGATGAACTTTACTGTGTCTTCCAGTTCTCTGAATTTGGCAAATCTTGTAGAGAACTGCCAAACTGTTGACTCGATAATGTTTACAAACAGCTTTTGAAGACATTTGTGGTCTGTTCTGTCATCTTTTAGATCACTGATGTACCTCTTTAGGTTTGGAAAGTATCTAAATCTCTCATTATCTACATCCCTCTTAAAAACTTTAAGCTTCATTTCAAAAGCTTTTATGTAACAAAACATAACATTAAGTGTCTTACCAGAGCCCCGTAACTTAATATTCAATTCATTTAAATGTTCACAAAAATCTGCAAAAAACATCAGTTTACAAACCCAAACGATGTCAGAAAATTCATGGTGACACTTGTTGGTCGTTCAAATAGAGCTTTATCTCATCTAAGCATTCAATAAATCGTTTCAGAACCAAGCCTCTGCTAAGCCAACGAACATGGTGGTACATTTTCAGTCCTTTATACACAGATTCTACCTCATCCAGTAGAGTTTGAAATTGTCTTTTATTTAAAGGCTGACCACAAATGTAATTAACAACCTTGGTAACTGTTTGCATCACTTCTTGCAGTTGCTTTAGGCCAACTTTTGCACATAAAGCCTCCTCATGTATGATGCAATGGAAGCCAATCAGTGGATGACCAACACTTTTTGCAAACAGATTTACAAATCCTGCCTTCTCACCAGTCATGTTTGGGGCACCAGCTGTTGTGACGGATACTACTTTTGAAATGTCAATTTGCCGAGTAGAGAATTCGTTCACAACTGTTTTACACATTTCAGCCCCGATAGTACGCTCAGGTAGTGATGCAAGAGCAACCATCTCTTCACATACTTCATCACCCCTACAAAATCTAGAATATATGGCTAGCCTAGCTGATGATGTAATGTCTGTACTTTCATCAACACAAATAGAAAAAAACTTGCATGAAGACAAATCTTTTGTCAATTGTTCAGCTGTATTTCTTTTCAACTTAAGTATCCTATCCTTAACTGTTTTCCTACTCACAGGCAAATCTTTAATGCGCTGAATAATCTTTTTCTTTTCTGAA